TCTCTCTCTCTCTCTCTCTCTCTCTCTCTCTCTCTCTCTCTCTCTCTCTCTCTCAGGCACTTATCGAAGAACCGATGAAGCAGAACGTACCCGCCCTAATACCCCGTGGCATATTGTCCCTGAGTCAACACACGGCAGCAGTCGGTTGAAACAGAAAGTGTGGCCAATCTCGTGAGTGTGGACATGTATAATATTATAGGAAAACAACGGAACCCTCTTGTAGTGAGCCAAACGGGCCTCTTTACATGTGTGTGTGCTTGTGTGTGTGTGTGTATGTGTGTGTGTGTGTGTGTGTGTGTGTGTGTGTGTGTGTGTGTGTGTGTGTTTGTGAGTGTGTGTGTGTGTGAGTATGCATGTGTTTGTATATATGTATGTATATTATGTAAAGTTGAAATAATAAATATATATCATGGTTTTTCGAAGACTGCTGTATGTAATATTGGGTGGTTTGTTCTATCTTGTAATGCCAACATTTGTCGCAGAATGGACACAGATTGATCACAGAGTAGGCCCAATGTATATTTAACATATCAGACGTCTTTGTCTCATAACATACTTTTGCAGTGTTTTGACGTCTTTAATGTACCACTTAACTGACGATTTGTTTAACATTTCTGAAGTTACGAATAAAAATTGTATTATTCATCACAAATGTTTAACTGTTTTGTTTACTCATTGAACCAGCTGATGTTGTGATCTTGTCTATTCTGACTGTAATGCTACTCCATAAATGCATTATTTTACAACAGCAATGAGGGATTTTCTCTTCCTGTCTACTGCAAGGTAGCTTTATAATAGATATAGCGCTGTATACCAAATTGGCACTTTTAACCACATTCAAGATTTGGGGAAATTTGGGGGGGGGGTAGACTATCACTGTGTGCTGTTATTTACTTTCATTTTTCTTCCTTTTTTTTAACAATGCAATTTCTTCCCTCCCCTTAAAGAAAGTATCGAAGCCTCACTATGAATACCAAATTATCACCAGTATAAGCACCACAGACTCATCATTATCACCAAGTGCCAGATCTGCAGCAGACATCGGCAATCGCGGTTCTCCATTCATTCCTTTGCTCGGATGGTCGTAAAAAAGCTAAGTTACCCTGATCTTTCCCCGTTTCCCATTTGTTTAAGTTCTCTAAGTATGTTGCTCTTGGCCTACCCCTGCCTCAGTTCCCTTCAATTTTGCGAAACACAGACTACGATATCAAATTTATGGTGTTGTCTCGTGATGTAACTTTACTAAATCGAATACCTGATTTACTGTTGAGCGAGGATTATAACAGATTGATCAGAAGTCAAGCGTTTAGTTTTCCATTCAAAAAAGCAGGTTTACTTTCTGTCTCGAAGTTTCTCTTTGTTGATTGCATTTAGCCGAGATTCGTCATTTTGGGCTCACTTAAGTCACGCCAGGCATGCCATTGGAAGTCTTCTAACCATGGTGAACAATTTGAGATGGTATGATCACATAACACGATCAACAGGACTTGAAAAGATGGTCCTTCAGAGCACTGTACAAGGAGGGAGAAGGAAAGGCAGACTGAAAAGAGAGAGAGAGAGAGAGAGAGAGAGAGAGAGAGAGAGAGAGAGAGAGATATGGGAAGTGAACACAACGGAATGTACATGTTTAAAGTCGGGTGAAATCCTTCAAAAGGATGAAAATAGAGACGGAGGAAGAAAAATGGTTGCCTAAACATCTTTGGTACCCAAACGGTCATCTAAGACTAAAGGATAAGCTAGGAAGAAAGTAAGTAAGTCAAATCACAAACTATTTTCCATAATCGATAATCTCACACCCATAATGCAGTATACGATTTACGAGATAACAGAGTTGCCTATCTTTAAAATTTAAAAAGATGTACTTCCAATTCCCCTACATTTGAAGAAAACAATGGGGAGACACAACATATCATTTGCCTTGCTTAAAGCGGTTTTATTGGCATTTAGTTCACAGGATTATTTTGCAGAATGTGGTACGTATTGCAACGTTTGATGTTCTTCCCTTTTTGAGGCATTGGGAAGCCAATGGTTGTCCCATTTCGCCTTTTGACCGATGTACCCATTTAATGATGAAACATTTTGATAGGAATATGAATAGGCCATGCTCTTCTTAAATACAAAATAAGCTATTTAAAAATTCGAGACTAGAACATGTTAGTCACGTCATCAGTACTTCAAATGTTTATTTGCCGGTTGTGGCGCAGTAATAGGCGTGACTTTGGTTTCATTGCAAAGGAAAAAAGTTGACCTTTACAATAATTATGTCGTCTCTTTACCGATACAGCAATTCTCAGCTTTCCGCTCATCCCTTGCTTCCCTTTTCCTGTTTTTCTTTTTGAAAAGTAAAAAGACAGAACAACGGTTTCTCAGTTGATATATCTTAAACGAAAAAGAATAGAATATATCTTATCTTTTCTTATCTTAGAGCAGTTGTTGTTCTGAGAAAATATCCCTTGAAAATGAATAATGATTTGGCGTTATACAGTCCGCCTTCCGCGGTTTCTCTCAACCAGATCTTTCATCTTGTTCACCGCCTGCGGGTGCAGCCTTCATTCTTAACCCTATCCGTACGTCGTGTTTTACTATCGTATCCATACGACGTGGGGAACTCTGTGCCACCACTTTCCAAAGAGGAAATTTACTCCTTAATCCGATCCGTACGCTTTGCATAGCAGTCTGTCAAAATGATTTTCTTGAGAAATACTGAAAGTTTCAAAGAGATCTTCGCACTAGACGTATTCTAAAATGTAAAGAATACAACCCCAGGGGTACAAAATAACCCCAGGATGTACAGAGAAGGTTAAATATCTAAACTGTAATGATTAGGAAGTAAACATTTATATTTTCAGATCATTTACAATGTATTTTTCACATTTTCTGTAGCAACTATCGTGACCTCCGCTTCCTCGTCGTTCTTCTTGGGGCATCCAGCGACCCTGACATGCGCAGACAACGCTTCCGCAACGCCAGCTACGCCCACTAACCATGAGGAACTGTTGGTCGCGTGGTTCAAAAATGGCGTCAGGATGAAAAACACTACCAGAAAACTCAAGTTAGAAAATTTCATTTGGTTTGAATTTGTTTCATAGGCCACTGCCAAATTACAGATTTTCTGGGCAAAAAAATCCATAAATAAAACGACAGTGAGGATTGATAGTCGACTACAGCGTCTTTATCGAGGAGAAGAGTCACAAAAAGTATACTCTCTATCTCAGAAACAAGACACTTAAATAAGACTTATCCGTTTGTTGCTTAGAGTCCAGTTTGTGACGTAGGGGCGGCATCTTTTCTCCGTTCTCACCTTGTCTTCTTCCTGTCTTTTTCTTATTCATACAAATGTCCGGGTGTAGGAATGTGGTGCCGTTATCAAAATGGCCTATTTGTATCTTGTGGTGCATTATACTACAAGACAATATCATATTCATTAGATTTTTTCTTGGCTTTGCCTGCACTGTGGGCTCAGTTGTTTTCAAGTAACATCGAATCTCTATCAGAATGGACGTTCATACTCAAAACACAAATTAAGCTCGGGCACGAAATATTATTAATTTTGTTATGTGCTACAATTCAACCTGTCGCTTCTCATGTCAAAATAACACCTACATATGATAGCTGTGCTTTGTTAAAAGAAATTATGATTGATTTATCGACTTTTTAAAGGCCTGCAAGAACGTGTACCTTATAGCCAACATTAGAGCTCTGTTCTGTACAGTCTTCTTTTCGGGCCTTTTTCTCTCTTAATTCTTCTACGGTACTAATTAGAGTATTGCTGTTTTACTCCCCCCCCCCTAAGAGATTGCGACAGTAATTTTGCTACTGCAATTAGATCATCTCCATGTTAGTAATGTCTTTATACTTAGTATACTATGTACTAATTTAGTTTGACTTCTTACCGGTGTTTGCGTTGTTGTTGTTTTGTTCTGTAAGTTTAGTACTCAAGTGATTCTCCCATAGATATGATTGTACGCCCTAAATGCTTCAGACATGCTAACCTGATTCAATCCTTAACATTGTAATCGTAAACAGAGAGACGAGCAGATTCATAATTCTCTTGGACAAACAGCGAGGTCTCACCTCTTTTTTCTCATTCAAAGATTCAAGCCGCTGGCCAAGAATGATTTAGCTGTGTACAGTTGCACTTTTGAGAGCAAACTGCTTCCGGGAGTCAATTCCGAAATGTCAACTGATCCACCGCCTCTGCTTCGTGCACTTAACTTGATGGACAAAGAAAGGAACAAAGAGCATGGAAATAGGGTTATCCCACATCCGAAATCTGCTCTTGGGGTTTGTAAGTATTCAAGGTTTGAATAATATGATGTGAAATTTTAATTATATTTGTGTGTGTGTGTTTGTGTGTGTGTGTGTGTGTGTGTGTGTGTGTGTGTGTGTGTGTGT